GACGAAACCCATCGCACTAATCGGCGAAGAACTTGACGCTACCCCTATCTGGCGCGCCAATTGTCGAAACAAGATTTTGGCAATACTAAAAGGGGGTGGCTATCAAGCTGGAAAAGTGGATGGGTTGAGAAACAAAGAATTTTATACTGGTTCAGGCCTTCTTAACAAGAAGTAATACCCTACTCCTGTCCGGGGATTGATTTGCCGAGTGTATTATTGATCGTATGATCTGGGAGCAGATCGTGCCCTAAGAGGCACCTGGACCCCTCCTTATATAGGGGAAGGGGTCCGTATTATAAAATACAGTCCATATCCCTAACGGAATAGGTAGTTACAGATAAGATTCAATCTTAACCGACTAAGATCCCGGGTATTTCCTTAACATACAAGTTTGGAATTTAACCCAAGTCCCTTTAAAGATATTCTATCTATACATGGCACCCCATACCCAGTCGGATTATAAATGCCGTGTTGGTATGGGGTATCCATAATCTCCACAAAATTGGAATAATGTGACGGAAAAGTTGAAAGTTTGTGTGTAGGAAAGTTTTGATGTGATGGAAAAGTTGAAAGTTTGGAACTAAACTCGGCCTATAATATATAGGACGATTCATTTTGCTTGAAGATTGGTGATCTACCGGTATATTTCCTCCGTACTAAAATAAACAATCCAGTATGAAGTATGATATATCAGAATCCTATTGTTACGAAATCCGGACAGTAGATCGTTATAATTGCCCAACCAAAAAAAAAAAGATCGTTATAATTGCCAGTACACGAAGGAATTATTACTATTGGGCCGATTGGGTCAATAAGCCCATGAGAGCCCACTGGGCCGGTGCTGCTGACGTCACGCCGAGCTACTTACCTCCGCGAGCGGCCACAACTCCGCTCCCCTCCCCCCTCTTCGCCTGAGTCGAGTCGCCTCCCCCACCGCCGGCCAACCATGCTGCCGCCGGCCGCCCGCCTCGCGGCCCGCCGCCTCCTAGGGCTCGCGACCTCCTCCGCCTCGGAATCGGCCGCGGCGCGACGCTTGTCCCGTTCTCCGGTCAGTGCCCCCCTCCCCCTCCTCCAAATGCCTCTGTATCTCCTCGCTGTTCGTCGGCGGAGCTTTGCCGTCCTGATCTCTCCCTCCGGGGGCAACGTCTCGTTGCAGATCTCCTACGCCGCCGCGGGCTGCTCCTCCAGGCTGTTCTCCACGGCGCTTAACTACGTACGTGAGGCGCCTCCCCCTTCCCTCGGATCCACCCCCTACCCTCTTCCCTGATCTGTCTGTTTTGTCTGAGGATGATAATGAGTCGGATTTGTGGGTTTGCTTGTTGTGCAGCACCTCGATTCGCCGGAAAACAACCCCGACATGCCGTGGGAGTTCACGGAGGCCAACATGAAGAAGGTGCTGTTGTTCGTCTCGTTCATTCATTTCCCTGTGATTTATGTTTTGGATTGGAACAGTGGCTGGTTTTGGAGTAGTTGTGGCAGAATTTGTTCAGTTTTGTTTTCGGATGTTCAGAAATGGCTGTTAGGGTACCATTTTATTCAGGACTATTAGATAATAATATAATCTTACGTTGGAACTGGTTGCTGGTTATTTGAGAAGGGGAAACGTTATCTGTCATGTAAAACCTTTAGAAATGTGCAAATCTGCAAATGTCCAAATGTAATAGAGACGTGGGGTATAGTGTTCTATTCCTTTGACATGGGATTTAGGTTTTGTGAATACGGTTTATATCAATTGTATCAGCTATTTTGGTTATCTGGCCTAAAATCTCTATTTCAATAACTAATTCAGGTTAATGAGATATTGTCTCACTATCCAAGCAACTACAAGCAGTCTGGTATTATTCCAATGCTTGATCTTGCCCAGCAGCAGCATGGTGGATGGGTGCCAGTTGCAGCAATGAATGCTGTAAGTCCCTTTTTTATGAGCTTTCGATGATCAACTGTTTTCCGCCTTTAATGTGCTATATCCTGTTTTCAATACTTCAATTTTCAGAAAGTGATGTACCTCAACATTTGTTAGTTGTTACAACCCACGTTAGCTATAGTTATATTGGACTTGCTTAGCAGACATTCATAAATCAAAACCTTATTGCACTGGCCTTGTTTCTGTTCACTTCTTCGTCCTACTGAAGATGGGTGACACTAGGAAATTAGGAGCCTTAATAGTAAGAGGCATTGGAGAATGGGGGTTGGCAATCACAAAAGAAAAAGTTCTTGTCAGCATATCAGTTGACATATTTATATAATTATAATTACAATTGAGTTAATCTCCTCAGGACTAGGACTATTACAATAACATTGCTACTGGGAGTGTTATAGCTTATGTTACATTTTAGATATTTTGTACATAGACCCAACCACCATTCCACCACCACTGTGCTCACAAAAAGCATTTCTGACAATACTATTTTCATGTCTTGGACTTTCAGATTGCTAAGATCGTTGAAGTTGCACCAATCAGAGTATATGAAGTTGCTACATTTTACACAATGTTTAACCGGACTAAGGTATCTTTGCATGACTTAGTATTTTGTACTTGTTAATCCCTCCACTAGCATCTTTTCACCCTATTTTGCCATGTAGGTGGGTAAATATCACCTTTTGGTGTGTGGAACCACACCTTGCATGATTCGTGGTTCACGTGAAATTGAAGAAGCCTTGTTAGAACATCTTGGAGTTAAACGGAATGGTTTGTATTATTCACATAACTTATCCTATCAACTAAGAATAACACTTCCTGATTTGTTACCACAAACGGTCTTCGAGCATGTGTTTCTCTTGCTATCTCTGTGATAGCATTAACATTTTTCTTTCATTTGCAGAGGTGACCAGTGATGGTTTATTTTCTGTTGGAGAAATGGAGTGCATGGTAACTTCGAGATCTATAATTTTCTGTCATTTTGGATGCTTGCAAATAGGTGTTCTAGTTGAGTTAAGTGTTTAACTATAGCCAATAGGAATGGTCTGTAGGATTTTGTCAGTGAATGATTCAGTACTCTAATGAAAAAACATAAGTACAAGGCAACTTTTTATTCAGCTTTCTGTTATATGTTCACAGGGCTGCTGTGTGAATGCTCCCATGATTGCTGTGGCCGATTATTCTAAAGGTTCAGAGGGTTACACATACAACTATTATGTAAGTATACACATTGATGCATCCGATTATCTATTGTTGATGACTTATGCTAGTACACGCGGTGGAAATTTTAGTAGAAACATCACAGCATTAGTAAGAATTAGCAGCTGGTGCCCACTCGTGTTAGTTCATGTTTATGCACAAAATGAAACATTGTCAACTGAAGAATATAAACTTGCATGTTATAGGATGCTGGGCCCCTGGGTTTCTATACTTCTTAGCAGGCGTCTTTGGAGAAATAATGCTAACATAGCTACATTTTTTTGCTAAACTTCCATGCTATAGCAGTACTGTGGCACTGAAAGCACTAATGCCAACAGAGTAACAAAAGACGAGTGGATAAAACTTAACAAAACCTGCCTGCCTTTTGCTGAGAGAGGAAGAAAAGACTTATTTGTGTACTGTAACTGAGCATTTCCATTTCCCCTTTTCAGGAGGACCTCACTCCTAAACGAGTTGTTGAGATCGTCGAGATGCTGAAAAGAGGAGAAACCCCTCCTGTAAGCTTTGCTCTTGAACGAAATAATTCTTTTGATATTTCTAGCGACAAGTTTTACTCAGTTTGATGTTATAGATATCAAGCCCCACCATTGGTTTAGGTTGCGAACTGATTTTGATGATTGTGATGATTTTTGCAGCGCGGCACACAACACCCAGAGCGGAAAAACTGTGGCCCTGCTGGAGGGAATACCACCTTGCACGGTGAGCCGAAACCTCCTCCGTGCAGGGATCTAGATGCTTGCTAGGTTTGCTTTGAATTACAGGCACACAAATAAGTTGGGCCACACTATGATTATATGGTGTGGAAACTGGAACAAAGCAAGGCGATGTGTTGTTTGTATTTTGATCTTGTTTTGTTTACCTCTGCCCGCATCTTTTTTCTCTCCTTTTGCACCATCAGAGAAATGGTACATTGATAATGACGATATGTTATTTTGTCAGCTGACATGAGGCGGCAGTGGTAAAAAGATTTGTATTCGTCTTTCGGCAAAGATAAAACTCTTGGACATTCTCTTTTTGGGCATTCCTTTTCAGCTTCTGATTAGTGATGAGTGCCCATTAAAGCACGACATCATCGCGTGTTACATTGCTAATCTAGCTGTTTGATCTTTTAGCAGCCGTTCATGATTTGATCATGAACATTACATTCTTCTCCAACTAAGTTACTCTAGAAAAGGTTAGGGCCTGTTCTTTGTCTGCTCGGATGATGGATTAAGTGTATGACAATTATTCAAGAACATGAACCGATGAATTAAATATTACAGGGTTGAAAGTTGTATTTTAAAAATGAAGTTCTAATATATGTTGATGAAGATTTTTTTAAAAAAAATTATAGCGTTTAAAAACTTGGAAGCGTCTCCTCGTAATCCATTACTCGTAAACAAAAAAAAGAATACGACCTAAACAGCTAAGGCCATGTTTAAATCCCACCCAAAAATTTGTTACCCCGTCACATTGAACGTTTGAACACCTGCATAAAGTATTAAATATAGGCTAAAAAATAACTAATTACACAGATTGCGACTAATTTGTGAGATGAATCTTTTAAGTCTAATTGCTCCATGATTAGATAATGTGGTGCTACGATAAACATTTGCTAATGACGGATTAATTAGGCTTAATAAATTCGTCTCGCGGTTTCCTGATAGATTCTGTAATTAGTTTTTTTATTAATACCCGAACACCCCATGCGACACTCTATGTACTACCCGATATAACACGCCAAAATTTACGACCCTGTATCAAAACCACCCCCTAAACGGCTAAACTAATTTCGGTGCTTTCTCTCAGGGACCATTTTGAATATTACGCGTTATTATTTGGACCTACCTGCAAATATCTCCTTGTCTTTCCGCCATCAGCTTTCCCCTCCTAAACCTCTCCCCATTCCCTCGCAAAACCCTCGTCTCCTCCACACTCTGCTCTTCTCGCAAACCCTAATCCCACGCGCGGCCACCTCCCATGGCGCGCTCGACCTCCCTCACCGAGGCGGAGGCGGGGATCACCTGCTTCGCCTCCTCCCTCCCGGGCTTCCGCGGCGTCCTCAAGCACCGCTACTCCGACTTCATCGTCCACGAGGTCGCCCGCGACGGCTCCGTCGCCCGCCTCACCTCCTTCGATCTCCCCGACGAGGTAAGCTTAGCCCTCTCGACCCCGATTCCGCGGCTCCCTCCCGGGATCCCCGATTTTTTTTCATCGCGCTAGCTCAGCTCCGCCGTGTATCGCAGTGCGTGGATGTGAGTGAGGAGGACAAGGCGGCGCCGTCCGCCGACGCGGACCACTCGCAGGCCCTCGAGTCGTTCCGTGCGCTCTGTGGCGATGCGGATTGCGACGCGTTGAAGGGGCTCCTCGAGAAGGCGTCCGCGGGGGCTGAGGCTGATGTATCGCCGGTTATTCTCTCGCCGGACGCCGATAAGGCTCATCGATCGGTTGGTTTGATCCCCCAGTTCCAGTTTCTGGTTGTTTATGTGGTTGAGATTGGTGGAAATGGTGTGATTTGGGCGTGTTTTTGGCTGTAGGAGGTGCATAATTTCTTCAAGAGGAGCTTCAAGTTTTTGGTCACCGACACGGTCGAACACAATGATGGAGTTCAGAGATGCATTAGGGTGCGGCTGGGATCAGGAGCTAGGGGAGGGCGGGGTGGCGGTGGGAGAAGTGGTGGTGGGAGGGGAAGGAAGAGGAAGAACATGGGTGGTTCTGATTGGAGAGATGACAGGCCATTTGATAGCAGAGGATCAACTAGCTGGCCAAATCATGTTGGGAAGTTCCTAAGGTGGTGGAATTCAGCTTGAATTGATAGTTTCTATTGGCCTGGTATCTTTAGCTGGCCTTTGTACTCGAATGTGTTCATCTGACTTGCTGTGTATTTTACTTGGCTAAACTTAATAAAAAACATCTAATCTATGTGTATAAATTTGTATAAGAAATATTATGTTTTTGCTTCGTCTAATTTTGCTGTTAATTAGCGTTATAACCGGAGTTGTCATTCTGGTGTGCTGACCAGGTTTCACCTTTGCAAAGAGAACAAGGACACACAAGAAGCGTTAGGAGTAATTGGGAAAATGTTAGGACTTCAGGTATACCTCGGTTGCTAACTCATAACATTGTGTTCTTGTTTCTACTGAATGCTTTGATTCTTCTTTTTTACCTTCCTTCGCATTCCTAGTTGATTTCTATACCTTTTGCAATTTGCAGTCACGTTCATTCGGGTTTGCAGGGACAAAAGATAAACGTGCTGTTACAACACAACAGGTACTTATTCCTCATGTGCATACCATCTCACTCAATTTTCTTTACATAAATCGTGTTTTTGTACAATTTGTTTAAAAGTTCGCATACAAGTATGCAAGAAATACTGGTATAATTTTAATTAAGGCATAATTTATGGTATTATGATGTTACAACCAGATGAGATAAGTGAAGCTGCTCTGGTTTGGAATACTACATGTAGTATTGTCTTGGCAAAGGAGTTTTGTGAAATGAAACTACAAGATCATTTTTCTTTAACTAGTACCGTTCATAGTTTTTAGTCTTTTCACCTTTAGTTTGTATTGCTTGGCTTTGTTCTCATCTCTAGCCTACCCAGCTTGGTTGAGATTAAAGGCTGGTGTTGTTGCTGTATTTTGCATAGTGATTTTTAGTCTATTTGACAGATTTGTTTATGTTATCTCACTCCTTTTTCATGGTTGTGATCCTCTGCATGTAATTACGTTTTCTTGCAATGGTTACTTTTCTGATTGTTTTCCCCTGGTTAGGTGACTGTTTTCAAGATATCAGCCAACAGATTGGCTGCACTTAATAATCGACTATTTGGAATTAAAGTTGGAAACTTTAGGTAGGTGATAAAATGCATTATCCTCTTTGTTGATATCATTGCAATGTAATTATTCTAAATACTAATTATTTTTGCATTCCTTTCTAGTTATGTGAAGGAGGGACTTGTTCTTGGTCAACTAATGGGAAATCGATTTACAATTACTCTGAGGTACTTGTTTTTTATTTCTCCTTTTAGTTTAATGTAAAAAACTAAAAATGTTCTCTAGTGCTCTAAAAAATGATTTGCACTAATCTTAGAGCTCATGGAGGGCCTGATTTGCAGCTACATATTACTTCACTACAAACAGTACTATATTTCACATGCACCAAACCTCTTCTTTTCTTGGTTCAAGAAAACCAAACAAATGGAGAGCTGATATTTTCCTGCATTTCTTCAGGGGTGTTGTTGCAGAATCAGAAGACATAATAAAGGCTTCTGTGGAGGGCTTAGGAAAGAATGGATTTATCAACTACTATGGGTTGCAGGTATGAAGCCAGAACCTTTTCGTTATGCTTCAAAACCTAACTGGTACGTGTTTACTTTTGAAGCTCATCAAGTTCATCTTTTTTGTTGGTTAGCGTTTTGGAAGTGGTTCAGTACCTACTCACCTTGTTGGAGCTGCTTTGCTTAGAGGAGAGTGGAGAAGTTCTGTAAATTTGATTCTTGATCCAAGGGAAGGAGATATCCTTGATTTATTTTATCCAATCAGCAGTTGCATACTTGGATATATAGCTGTGCCAACTTTTGTTCAACATAACTTAATACTCCGAACAGAGAGATGACATAAGGGAGATGCGTGAACATTACAAGGAGCATGGTGATATTGATATGGCACTAAGGAACTTCCCTCGACATCTTGTAGCCGAGAAGGCTATTGTAAGTGTAGTTCTTTTCCTTCATTACTTAACCTGGAATTATTTAAAACATTGGCTTTTTAGTTTTTATTCAAGTTATGTAATGTAGATCACATTATTTGGGGAAGTTAAACTGATATTCTTTCATGCATTGTTTCCAGCTTCAATGTTTGAAGAAATGCCCTGGTAACTATCTGCAAGCATTAAAGAGTATACCAAGAACATTACGAATGATGTATGTTGTTTAACTTTCTTCGTCTTTTCATGTTTCTTTACATTGATGGGTTAGTCAATTTCTGTTACCTCAAAAGCTAAGTAGATTTTATAATATACAAAATTGTATTGGAATTATTATAGACATTAGTCATGAACAGTAGTAGATCTGTTATATGTACCTGTTTTTAAAATTGTTCTCTGCTGCTCAATATACATACCGTTTGATATATTCAAGCTTTTCTGTTACCCTTTTTCTCTGTTCTGTTTTGTTGACCAATTTATTAATTCTCATATTTTGCTTATGCGTCTTTCTTATTTGCTGTTGCCTCTTTTATGAAGGTACGTTCATAGTTACCAAAGTTACCTCTGGAACCATGCTGCCAGTGCCAGAGTTGAAAAATATGGTCAGTGCACTTCATCCTTCTACAGCTACTCAGTTTTAGTTGAATCATGATGCAGTTTGATAATTTTCTGATAACGGCTAACCTTGACCTTTTTCTTCAGGCGTGTTACCTTTTGTAGTTTTATATGGTGAACTTCTCTTTTCCCATTCCTCCTTATGCTAACTGGTGTACTTGACAGGCATTTCGCAGGCTGTAGAAGGTGACTTAGTTTATAGCAAAGAGCCCCCTCCTGGAGAAGCAACTTCAGTTGATACTTCAGAACCTTGCGATGACCAAATAAATTCATCTGATATTGATCTATGTTCTGAGACACTTCCAGAAGAAACAATCCAGTCTGTGAAGGTCTGTAATTTGCAGCAAACAATGCGGTGTACATGCTCATGCACAAAAAGTTCCTAATCATGCACTGTCATTTCTCGTGTAGATAGTTGATTCTGAAGATTTATTGAAGGGTGTCTACACATTTGAAGATGTTGTCCTTCCTTTGCCTGGGTATTTACCATTCCACATCCATAACTTCAATTTTCATATTGAATCACATTGAGAAATATATATGGTGTGCTTATTTCTGTAAACATGCAGTTCGCAAGCATTATTTCCTGGAAACGGAATTGCTGACATTTATCATGAATTGGCTAAAAAGGTGCTACTATCCTACAAAATTTATTTTATAGTTTATTCAGAAGTACTTCCTTTGCTTTGCCAGGAACTTGTGCATTCTTGAATTTCCTCTATAACCCTTCTGTTGCTAAACGCAAAAAAGAAAAACACATATTGTAGGTTATTGGTTGCTAGATATGTTTACTGTGAAATGTGTTTAGTTTCCCTTTTCTTTTTGTGGATAAACGATACTTCTGTAATGTCACAGGTTTAATTGGCTAATATATTATGAATGAATTACACAATATTTTTTAAAGTGAAAGATTAAATCCAAGAAATAGGAATCATATTGTTGATTTGCTTTCATGTCTCAGGATGGCATTAGCTTGACAGAGAATGCACATGGTGTCAAGTAAGTTTCTTTATTTTACTGTAAAGATCAAAGGCACCTCTAAAAGTCAATACTTAGTATATGTGCTATGACAAGCTTTATATCTTTTTGTTCTGATATCCTACTATATTCTCATTCTGTTGTATATATTACCTTGGCTTGCATATTTCAATTTGCTACTTTATACCCTAACTTCTATGCTATATGATACAAACTCCATTTTTAAGGGAGTTTTCAATTACAAGCATGAAAGGAGGTTATCGGCGGGTGTTCCAGCGGCCTATTGATTTTGAGTGGTATGCCTTATCCCATTGACTTTTCACTTCATTAGATGACCAAAATCATCACCTTTTCTTTCGTATAAATTCTAGCCCTGTTCCACTAAAAAATGCTTTGGTGTGACTGTAGGGAACTCATGACTTATACAGATGACACAGCATCTTTAGCAGAAACTGATTTGGATGTTCTGTCCAGAAACAAACCTACAAAAGCCAAGGAAGTAAATGAGACTATATCTAGCGCGATTTCAAATGCTCAATCACATGATTCCAAGGTGGCAGGACCATTGGATAGCTCTATGCCAGGTAGTGAAACTGGCTTAGTAGAGGAAAAGTCTGTCGGTAGCTCAGATATGTTAGCAAGGAAATTGGCCATAAAATTAGCATTTACTCTACCAGCATCCTCCTATGCTACAATGGCTATTAGGGAGTTGCTGAAGACTTCAACCTCGGTATGTTTCTCAACTAATATTATATTACTATTCTTTTACTAGAATTTAAATGATGTTAAATGGACTCTGTTTATGGTGTTATGCATAGTTAAGAATGCATGCCTACTTGAGAATTCAAATACATTTAATTATGGCAGTTGCCCAACAGTATTGTTAATATTTTAGGACGTCAGGAGAAAATATTGCTGAATATTTCAATATATATGCTATTGCTCTAACATGTTAACAAATAACAACATTCATTTCATAATTACCTTCTGCTCGTCTGCAGGTCACGTATCAGAAAACACTCGATTGTTAATTTTGTTATTGACATCAATTCTTTATGGGGAATCTTCCAAGCCGCATCTTAGAGGAGTTGACATAGTTAAGCAACATGAGTTGGTATGGTGTTTGAATTGTGTTTGTGTAATTTTTATCGCGTGGCACTAAGTTATTAACTTATAAATCCTGATCTGATTATTGCAGTATTGCATTTAACAGCCCAAATGAATCGGCATTGAGATATACCATGCTGCTCGGCCTGCTCCCGTTCGGTGCATACTGAATTGCTGATGCACGTTTGTGCTATTGTGGGGGTTAAAAACTTGTTTTGCCACTAGAATATGTGGCATGCCATAATATTGTATGAACTTTTGTAACCAAACAGGGATATTAAAGTTGAGAACCCTTGCGAGGTTTCCTTCTTGTCTGGGTTTTGAATTTTTATATGCTGTGTTTGTTGATCGGAGCTCAATTATCGTAATATCGGGCAACAAAATCAGTTTGAATTTGTGTCTTGCACATGCGGCCGGCTGGCAACTGGACGGCAGCTGGGCTGCACATTTGACGCAGCCTGACGGTGATGAGCAGCTGGGCGGCTGACTTGAGGCTGCAACACGACACGACGCCTGGTCCAGTGTGGTACCCCAATTCCACTAGCCCTATCTGGAATACGAAAACGGCAGCACCTCCTCGAACATAAGGGTTGGTAGAATAAGCCTACAACAACTGGTGCTCACAGTGAGCCCCAGAGGGGTTTATACCTTGGAAGTACAAGAAAATAATTGATGTATGGCAACCAAATACAACCACAACACACAGATGTACACCCTGTAGGTGCATAACTCATTTATTATTATAACCGGTTACCAAAGTTCGCATCTGCTGCTAGCTCTCTACAAAGAAAAGATGACGGAAATTTGGGATACAACTCAGTATACAAGAAGAGCCTAAGATCCTGCACATTTTCAACCGACCAGCAGGACATGCATAGCCTAAATGGATTGATGATCCAATGGTGTCTCCAATCTCAGCCTCCAAAACAACACTAAGGTGACAAATGGCATGCCCTAAGTCAGGTTCTGGATCTTGCGTTTCAGCCACAGGGCCCGGACGTCACCGTTAAGCGAGATGAATATTTCCCGGTTCCCCGCCTGGAGGAACACATCGGGGGCAACCGATTTCTCCACCTGAGATAGCTCGGCCATGCCGTTGAGGATCTGGACGCATCTCGATATGCTGTAGCTGTCCTCTGGCTTGGCCAACTGCCAGTCGTGATTCGAGTTCTTGTACTCCCCTGAGTCGTCGATCACCCGGTCGTTGCTCTGCCTCTTGGAGCAATGCCATGAGCGGGGCTGCCACTGCGATATCGCCTGCGGGAACATGTGTGTATCTCTGTTCGTGGCTCTGATATGCGGGGGAGTTTGCTGGAAGGAGGACTCTTTTGAGATTGGTGACTGCAGGCGAGGTGAACGTTCCACGATAAAGTCTTGTTCATCCTCACTGTGGTCCAGGTCTGCGCCAGTGTATAAAAAGCGCTTACTTTCTTCTGCCATTATGCCTTCTGCGCAAGGGAAGGGGTATTAATCAGTATACAGGTCCAGACATTCCGATCCATTAAGATAAGGGATGATTAGAAACTCAAGAATTGTTTGCAAAAATATATATGAGAAATCAGAAGCATATCTTTAGTACCATTTTTCCCGAAAGGATTCCTGCAGTCCTCACATCGGCAAAACAAAGAGCAACCAGTCCCATCCTGTACATAAGAATTTAGTTGAGAATATTTTTCACCAAATGTTTAGCAGAGAGCTTGAATTAAGACCAAACCTGGTAGCAATCACAGTATTTCTTTAGGCAACTTGATTTCTTGCAATTGCAACCTCGCCTAGGCGGAGTTGAAGAAGAAGAATGATGAGCATCTTCCTGTAAATGAGAACACATTGAAATTACTACTACAAACCAAAGGAAAGATCAAATACTGTAGCACCAGCTTTTTCAGTTAAGAAAACAACCACAGCTTCCGCATTTGCCTCAGATCTTCGATTAATTTTCAGTGACATCCGTTTCTGCCGTGAAAGAAGCACCTTGCGAGTGGTCTGAACTGTTTCTGCATATAAGGCCTTGTTGAAGCATGGTTGGCATCCACACTTTTCAGAACAATAACCTCCACCAGCAAAGCATGGGCAATAGCTGCATAAGCAAACGCTTCAATATCAGTCTTAGTTCATGAAAGCACAAGCAACCAAACAGACATAGAGATCCAAATCAATTTAAACTTATCATATATTCGTACTGATGGCGTTTTGCTATCCATAATATTTGCAGTAGGAAGAAAAACAGCTTCTTGATAACATAGAAGAACTATGGCTTCCATAGTAGCTTTTGTAGGCTGATCGCAAAGTTGTAAGCTTTCCGCCATTAGTTGCACATATCAAAGGAGTACTAGAGGTAACATACAATGGGAAATCATACTAATAATCAAAAGGTATAAACATATAATATTATAACAGAGCATGGGATTCCAATTATTTATTCAATTTAAACACATTACACACCACATGGAGCACTCAAATTACACATACTAAGAGAATAGAACCGCAATCCATTCAAATAGCTGTACTATAGAACCCAACAACAAAGGGGTTTTTGAACTACGAGCAATATATCTAGTCAGAGGGGATCATACCCGTAAAACGTCGCGCAAATCCCTATCTCTATTATCCACTAACCAAAATGGATGCACATAGCTGCGAAAATCGCATGGTACCAAACATTTCCATTTCCTCTCCCCTTTTTTTCACTAAAATGTCTAAACCTTCCCAGAATCGTATGAAACAGAGAACTACAAAAATCAAAAAGGATCAGAGGTTTCTTACAGCTTCAAGCATCTCGACTTCTTGCAGGCGCAATGCTTGCACCCGTTCCCATCCGCGCTCTCCTCCACCTTCTGCCTGCGTTTACAAGAAACCCCACACGCACACACCCGAATCAGATCACCCGGAAAACCCCCCCGGGAGGCGCCCGAATCAATCAAAAAAGAAACCGAAGCGCCCTCCAACTCGGGGGCTACGGATCCTCACCGCTTGGGGGTGGGAGTGAGCGCCAGCTGGTTCATGCTACAGGGCTCCGCCTCTGCCACCACCACGGCCACCGGCTGCGGGGGCAGGGGCTCCACGGCGGCCGCCGCCGGTGGTAGCGGCGGGGGCGGAGGGGGCGGGACCGGCACCTGCACCGGCGGCGGCGGTGGCGCCGCCGCCACCGGAGACGGCGGCTTGACGGAGATCGGGGTGGCCTCCATGGCGAGGGAGGGCGAAGAAGGGGAGAGACAAGAGAAGGGAGAGGGTGGGCGCACGGGTCCGGGGTGAGAGGAGAGGAGGTCTTTAGACTGGTTTGTGGGGCCCACTTGCAGGATCTCTCTCTCTCTCTCCTTGTGGGGTTTGTTTCTTGGTTTTTGGTGTTTTCTTGGAAAAAGCTCCTTGGTTTCAGTTTGCTTTTTTAAAAAAAATAAGCTTTGGATTTCAGTTTGCCTCTTTTTTTTTAATCTTTGGATGTGCCATGTGTCATGGTAGGGGTTTGATTTGGGAGGTTTTGAAATTTTTGTGGATTTGTGATGTTTTGGTGGGGGTACGTTTTGATATTTTTGGAGGGGTTTTAAGGATGTGTTTTGGTGTGAGAATAAGTAGGATATACGATTTTAGGGTGATAATACATAGGACGGTGCGAGAATAGAGATGGATTTTACTGTTTGAGATGTTCTAGATAAGATATTTAATTTATTGCTAAAAGGGGAGCTATTCCATTACAGGTAGTGAGGATAATTTGAAGGTTTTTGCAGTTTTAGGTGGTGTTTTTTTAATATATATATATATATATATATATATATATATATATATATATATATATATATATATATATATATATATATATATATATATATATATAATTTGTTTCTAAAGAGAGGCTATTCAACTATTGCTAGGATATGTATAGTCTCCCTTTATAATATTGTTCCATTTGACTAAAGACGTTCTTATCCCATATCTCACCCTTTTGGCTTGAGGACATTTCATATACTACTAATTAGCGTGTTGAACTTTGTACCGTCAATTTGCCTTTAATACATGGCAGGACTACCAATTCAAATTGGCACAATTTGCTACATCGGTAGTACTTACTGTGCGAGATATTTTTTGATGTATGACTTGTCTTCCTTTACCGTTTATAACATACAACTTTCCTCAAGTTTTATAGTATTTTAAAATTATAAAACAAGTCTCACAACTAAAAAGAAGAAACTAGCTGAAAAGTGCTTGCTCATCGGACAAGTGTTTCTTGTACTGCAGTAAGAAGAAAGTAGCGTGTGTGTCATCACGTTACTTCGTTTTTTTAGAAGAAAAAGGGTATCATAAAGTATGGCGCGTTACTCCTTTTCTTTAAAAGCTTTTTAACCGAGCATGAAACGTAGCTTATAATGCACGGCAATCTCAAATTCGCCACCTCATAAAACTCTTTGTTTTGATATCTAAACGAAGAAAACCGCACTAGTTGAAAGCTTTTTTGCACTTAACGCATAGCCCATCAGAGAAGCGTTTCAAAAGAAAAAAGATACGGCAACAACTCAACTAAACAGTGGTGAACACCACCACTAACGTCTCTACCTACAATTGAGCTATAAAAAATTACAGTTTGAACTAAGGATCCCTTAATTTGTATGGAAAACACAGAAAATTTAGAAGATTACAACCTTACAAAGAAAGATTTCTAGAAGGGCCTTTTTTTAGAATTGAATCATTTCCTTTCCTATAAAAATCTTATTAAAAATACATGGTGGTGTTTGAATCTCCTAAAGATGAAGATGAAGATGAAGATAAAGATTAAGTATTTCACACAAAACGAGGTGATAATAACGTGTGGCTAATTTGGTTTTAATTATTACAAACTTGAAAAATAGATTAATATGATATTTTAGACCAACTTTTATATATAAAGTTTTCGCACGAGACACACCGTTTAGCAGTTTGAAAAGCGTGCCACGAGTATCCAAAAATTCCATTGCAGTCTATCACTCTCATTTTACTCTTAGTCCTACTAAGATTTTAGGAGAAACGTCCAAGGGTCTTCCGGCTAGCTTCACAAAGTAGTGGGCTAGACGACCTGGGTTCAAATACTCACCCCTTCTAACTATTTGATATTATGTCATTCCCTAATATTTGTGTTTTTTTACTGAGATTTTAGAGGAAAGTTAACAAAAGCTTCAACCTCTTGAAAAATTCCATTGCAGTCTATCACTCTCATTTTACTCTTAGATGATTGTTCTACTAAGATTTTAGATAAAAGTTAACAAAAGCTTCAACCTCTTGAAAGTTACATTGCAGTCTATCACTCTCATTTTACTCTTAAATGATTGTTCTCATTTTACTCTTAGATGATTGTTCGTGTATTTTTCCTGTATTTTACAATTCTTTGTTTTGAATTTGCATTCTTTCCTGTATTTTGCAATATTTTTGGGCTTGCATTCATGTTAAAATCCTATATTTTTTTGTTATTTCTTTGATTTATTTTAATCATTCCTGTGAAATTGAACTCTTTGACTTCAGCCTCAAATAGTCTATTTCAATACAAATGGAGGAATCCGCATCAATACTTATTTCGCGAACGCAAATGCGCATCAATACCAATCGATGACCTTTGTCAGTTTAAGAGAAACATTGTGCCCAATACTTCCTCCATTCAGCATGAAGGAAAAAAAATACTTTAAATGCCCCTTACGAGGGTACGCTAACTATTGATTGACTGAATTGACATAAATTTCAGCAAAATTAATATTACTACTTCCTCCATTCAGCATGAAGAAAAAAAATACTTTAAATGCCGATATCCCACTGAAAACCAGGCCCTCAATGTTAGCCGAGTGTTTGCATCAAGCCCATCATATATATTTGCAAATATCAATTAACATCAGCACATGCTCCCAAAACATTTCGTTCATGTCTTTAAGCCCATTTGCTTCATGACGCTCTGCAACGGATTAACACCACCGATCTGATTCAACAATTGCTTAGGGATGAGATTGTTAATGGTGTTCAGCGTGTCCTTGTTGTTCATAACATTCCTGTCCATATTCTTGGGCAACTTCTTCTTCAACTTGCTACACACCTTGGCGATTCTCTTGTACTCTTCCAGCATGTCGGTCACATCTTTCATGGTCCTGCCAGATCCTCGAGCGACCCGTTTAATTCGTGATTCACTCATCAGCTTTGGGTTTGTGCTATCAAGCTCTGAAAATTAAGGAGCTAAATAAGTTTCAAGAAAGCAATCTCCATTCAAAGAAGAACAAAAATGCCTATAATAGCTCACCTGCATTTGTCATAGAATCCATAATAGTCATGTACCGCTTAATCTTTGCTTGGCTTTCCTTGTCATGTCCTTTTGGCATCAGTTCAGACCTAAATCCAGGTATCATAGATAAAACCTGCAAGAAAGAATTACACAATGCATGATTAAATTCGTAAAAAAAGATTTCCTTATGTTGCATTGGCTTTCAGTGTTGATATCTCGATGAAATACTCCAATAAAAACAAGATTAAATACTGAAAATAAATCTAACCTGTCCAATAGGACCCATGTTAAGAAGATTCTGGAACAGCTCGTAGAATACTCTGAGAGTAAAGGTTCCTTCTATCAGTCTCTGCATAAGCTCAGGTTGTTGATCAGCAGGCATAGCATCTTTGATCTTGTTCACTAAGCCAGACAAGTCTCCCATTCCTGACAGTTAGAGAAGTTATGTAAGCTCGATAGAATAGCAAAAGGTTACAGATTATACCCAATATGTTTTTACTAACCTAACAGACGACTAACAAATGGTTTCACATCGAAAACCTCAAAATCCTGCATGTGTTCTCCAGTTCCAATAAATACAACAGGGCTCTTTGTAGCTGCAACCCTGGAAAAGAAAAAAAAATGTCAAAACAGGCTCCTTATAAAATTTTCACTGATTTACTCAAGGATATCCGCCTTTTTGCTATAATTAAGAAATCCTAAGAGTAATAATTTAATAATTAATAAACATAAAATAGCAGGAGGTGGTTTATGTAGGAAATACTAACGCGCTAAGTGCACCGCCTCCTTTGGCATGACCATCCAATTTCGTAACAATCACAGCACCAACAGAAGCACTCTGTTTAAATGCTTGCGCCTGATCAAACGCTGCCTGACCAATGCTACCATCCATCACGAATATCACAAGGTCAGGTTTCTGCACACAGAAACACAAGTTAAATTCTCAGTAACAACAGTGGAATGTGCCTTGATCAAAAGATCTTTGCCAATGGTTGTGCCAATGTAAATACCGTTGCTTCTGCAACTTGACGCATTTCTTCGAAGAGTGCAGCCTCTTGCTTGTGGCGCCCGCTAGTATCAACAATGATGAGATCAGACTTCTCCTTCCTGAACCTCTCCACACCCTCAACAGCAATTTTCACTGGGTCTGATTCCATGTAGCTGCAATGACAAACAGTTTTCTTTAATGTCAATTTTAGCAAAGTACTTTTTTATACTAATATGTAAAGGTGTGGATGTAGAGAACCAACCTTCCATAGTAAGGAATCTTGGCCTTTGTAGCATTCTGTTTTAACTGATCAAAGGCACCAGCTCTGAATGTATCAGCACAAACCAATGAAGGTTTAAAGCCCTTCAGCTGATGATAGTGAGCATATTTGGTACAGGTAGTGGTTTTCCCAGAACCTACAGCAACATAACATTATGAAGTGAGCAGCGAACATTAAATTTATATTGCAACCCAAGAAAGAGGCAGACAATAGATTATTCTAAGGAGCAGGTGCAATAGAAGGCAAAACAAAACTAGCAGGAACTTAAAGGAGGAAATGGCACTAATCCTTAAGACAATGGGTCTAGCATCTACAACCAGCAGGGTACCACAAATTTCCCTGAGATGTGACCTCTATCTGACAATGTAATACTAGAATCTGAAGTTTGTTGACTTCAAGAATTAATTAATTCACAAGAAGGGGAAAAAAGATTGAGAATCGTCCGTTGTCGTCTGGCTATGGATACTTTTCCAACATGGAGAAAAGTAATCATCATCAGAAAGAAAAAATAACTTTACATAGTTTTACTCACCAAAGGCCTAATAAATTCAGCAGAATTCAATTAGAGGAGTTACAAACAAACCTATCAGCAGATAGCTACTAGTTTATAACACTAAAACCTAGCAGGTGCTAGGTAAAATTAAAACGGGAGGCCCTGTTCTAATCTTCAACTCCAAACAACAAACAACTTTCTCGTTTTCCGTTAGCATATTTCCTAAACTGCTAAATGGTGTTTTTTGAAAAAAAAAATATACGTAGAAGTTTCTTTAAAAATAAATCATTTTTCCAAGTTTAGCTAATACTTAATCAATCATATGGTAATGAGTTTTATTATTTCACGTGCGCCGAAAATCCCAACAGACGAACGGGCCTACCTTGCAAGCCGACGAACATGACCACACTGGGCTTCCCCTTGGTGGGGGTGAAGGACGGCTTCCCCGGATCAAGCATGTTGCAGAGCTCCGCGAAGACGGCCTACATACAAGACGATATATATCAGCAAAATTCGTTCAATTGCCAGCTGATTTTGACGAGGGAGCCTAGCTTATAGCTAGCTCATCGATGGATCGATGGATGGATCTCTGCATATCTGACTGACCTGCTGTATGATGCGGCGCTTGTTGGTGCCGGCGGGGAGGGCGTCGAGGTTGACGGCCCTCCGGATGTTGGCGCGCATGTCGGAGACCATCCTGATCTGCACGTCGGACTGCAGGAGCGCGCGCGCGATCTCGTGGAGGCAGTCGGCGAACGCCTTGTCGTCGATCACCGTCGCGTTGCTCATCTGCGCCAGCGCGCGGGAGATGCTCCCGCCCAGCTGCGCGAGCACCATCTCCACCGATCGATCGGCGCTCCGGCGTGCGGCGATCTTCGGCGGCGGGATGGATAACGTGTCGTGTCGTGCTCGTGCTCGTGGCGCGGCGGCTGCCCAGATTTGTGGAGTGTTTATCTCCGTGATCGTTATTAGTATAGCTTATATATATATGGACAGGGTTTGGTGTAAATCGGAATCCGGATATGAATCGAAGAGGTGTTACAAAAACTGGGCTGAAAATTGAAACTTAGGCGGAATCCATCTATCGATCTATCCGTCTGTCTCTTTCTGGGGGCGATTTTTCGTCTCGTCCGACTTCCGCGCTCGCGTAGATCGCTCACGTTTCCAAGTTTCCGTCGTGGCGTTTGTCCCGTCCGGCTCGATCCTTCGCCACACGCCCACGCACACCCACACGTGCCCAGGCTTGACAGTTAAGGGGCCCGTGTTGATGTCTTCTGTACACTTGTGTGCGTCCCTCGGACCTTTTGGTCCTGTTTGGGGAGCTTGTCCCAGCTGCAGCTTTTTCTAAAAGCTGTTTCTGCTAGAAGCTGCCCCAAACAGTCCACAGCTTCTGAGAATCTGTAGTTACAGATTCTAAAAAAATGAACTAAGAAGCCAGAAGCTGGAGAAGCTGGGTTTCAGAGCTTTTCCAGATTCTCAGAAGCTGGTTACCAAACAGTTACTTCTCAGAATCTAAAGCTCCCCCAACTAGGCCCTTTGTTTGGTCCTTGTCCATCCTACTAAATGGGCCTTCATCGTATATATATGGTCCAGGCTAGGGAAATAAGTTTAGTTTAGTTCCCTCATCTTGACACCAAGTTTAAAATTCGTCACCGCATCGCAATATCAGGTATAGCCCGTCTTCAAACTCATAAAACCGTGTCAACTTTCGTCCAACTCCTAAAGCAGTATGTCTCTCGGTTTCATCTAACATAGAGCTTTGACTCCCGTCAGCTGTGTTGAGTCGGTGTGGGACCCATGCGGACCCCACATGTTAGCAACAACTCTTTCTTCATCCACTCTCCCCTATCTCCCCTCTCTTCTCATCATCAGCAGGTCAGGAGGTAGGCCGCAAACAGTGTGGATAGAGGTAGCGATCGAGAAGGTGAAGGGTGGCCCGACACGACGAGAGAGCTCTGTGTGGGTCTCACCTAGTCAGTGTTAGCCATGAGATCCACCAACTTCGTGTGGCCAATGGGGAGAGGGGCAGGCGTCGGCGAGTAGAACGGCGGCCTGACACGACAAGAGAGCTTTGTGTCGGCCTCGCCCAATTGACGTCAGTCGCAAGCTCCTCCAACTCTGTGCAATTAATGGGGAGAAGGGCAGCCGCTGGTGGGCCTCCTCGCCTCCCAACGGCGATAGCCGGCCAACCACCAAATCTAAGCGTTAGGCGGCAACGCCAATGTGAAGAAGTCGACCAAAGGTGACCCGACTGCTCGCGAGGCTATGATGGCACGTCGTGACCTTCGGCGGTGACAGCCTCGGCGGGATCCCCATCCCCCCTCCTCCTCCTCCTCCACTGATGCTGGCGCCCTCCATCCGCGCCTGCACGATCATCCCGTTCAACTACACCTCCCACCCACTCTGTCTCATCCCTAGCCACTGAGACAAGGGGCAAAGAAAGGGTAAAGAGAAAGAGAGAGAGAGAGAGAGAGAGAGAATGAGAGGATGTGTCACTAATATGTGGGATCCACCAATTTTTATTTTATATTTTGTACTGAATTGTTCTGACATATGGATTCTATGCAGATTAAGCTGCCACGTCAGCCGAAACTGGGCACTATAATGTCCTATGATCTTAGGTACATCGAGTTTACAAGTCCGGAACATGCTATACTATGTTTTTTTACGCTGATACGGAGTACTTTGTAAGTTTGTATTGTTGTTTAGGGATGAATTTCAATCTCCGAGTCAAGATGAGAGACCTAAAGCGGACTTATTGCCCAGCGTTGGGTGCTCATCGAGACGCCTGTGCAAACTGGTCAGGAATAAGTTCACTTCATGACCCTCAAAAGTGATCGGATTCTAATTCATGACCCCAAACCGCAAAACCAGATATCTTGACCCCTAAACTTTGAAATCCCGGGCAACCCGACTCCCATGGCAGTTTTGCGAGCGGTTTTCACTGACGTGGCAGTTGGACCCTGTCAACATCGCTGACGTGTCGTTTGAAGATGGGTCAACAAAGTCGAGTCACCGTATGCGTTACACTTCCATGTGGGCCCGGTTTTCGCTGAGTTGGATCTGGTAGGTATATCCCCGCCCAGTGTAAATCCCGGGTGTATTGACGAGCGAAACCCTAGAGCGCGCTGTGAGTCGTGAGGAGGAGGCGAAGAAGGGCGACGCGGGGGGTGGCGCAGCGGTGGAGGGCGACGCAGCGGGCAGAGCGGCGGTGGTGGCCAGCTCGGTCGTCGTTTCTGGCGGGCAAAGCTGGATCTGTGCTCGAGCTGAGGTTAGTTAATCCTCATTGAACCGTCGTCTTCCCGGGTGGATTAGGGTTAGTTGTGTCGATTTGGGTGCTGATTTGAAAATGCGGTGCATGTATACTATTGTTGTTGGATTTGGAGGAGGCTTAGCATATTTTAATAAGGGAATCAGTAGATCAGGTGGATTTGGGCATACTATATTGGGTGGTTGCTTTAGATCAGGTGGATTTGGGCATATTATATTGGGTGGTTGCTTTGGATCTGCGGAATGGTGATTTGAATAGCATGGTTGACACTATTTTTATGTTGCAAATTGCATGTAGGGTTTGTGAGGAGTATTTGGCATCATGGACCCATTAGACACTCTTCCAGTGAGATTTCATTACAATGGGGAGTTTGTTTTGCATAGGAGGGAGAAGTCCTATTGCGGTGGTAGTGAAGCAATGTCGTACTTAGAGAGAGACAAGGTGTCACTTCCAGAAATTATTGGGCATTTGCGGGATCATACCAAGGTTATGGAAAGGACAATGCTGCATTGGTTGTTCCCAGGCAAAGATCTCAATTCTGGCTTGAGAGTTCTTGTGGATGACAGAGTGTGCAGCTATATGTCAGATTGCATAGTTGAAGGTGGGGTGGCTGAAGTGTATGTGGAGGAACCAATTGTAGTTGATTTGTCAGAAGATGAAGAGGATAGTGACTATGAGGTTGAGATGGATGAGGGTGCTGAAGCAGATTCTGAAGGAGAGGATGATAGTGGGGATGATGTTGAAGTTTTCAAGGATAAATATGTGCAGGAGCAAGCTGGGAAGGGCAAAATGAAGGAAGGGGGTGATGCAGCTGTTAGGACAGTGCTGGGAGGTGCTGATGCAGCTGAGAGGGCAGTGGTGGGAGGTGGTGATGCAGCTGAGAGGGTAGTGGTTGGAGGTGGTGAACAAGCTGATAAGAGAATGGTGTTGTACACCAGAGACACTTAGCCAATTTGTTATATGCAGGAGGAGGAATACCACACTGAAACTGATAGTGACTACATGCCAGGAGATGAATCACCATCAGATGATGAGGAAGAGGCTGCAAACATACATAAGGAGTACAAGGAGGTGAAGAAGAAGATCAAGACTGGTTTCATTTTAGGGATTGATGGTGCTGGTTTAGAGGGGTCACAGAGCAACCCAAATGTACATGCTGATCAAGGAAAAAGTGGCAATGAAACACCATATGAAGAGAGTGACTCAAAAAGGTCAATAGATGAGCTTGGAAGTGATGGGGAGGTGACTACTAGAAGTAGCAAGTTTCCAAGGTACAAGAAGAAGCAAGGTGTGCCTGTGTTTGAACTTGGAATGAAATTTAGCTCTAAGAAGTTGTTCAGGAAGGCAGTGACTGCTTATGCCCTAAGTGAGAGGAAGGTAATCAACTTCATCAAGAGTGATCCTAGAAGGGTTAGGGCTAAATGTGACTGGCCAAGCTGCCCATGGGTGTGTCTTTTGTCCAAGACCACAAGGTCTGATAGCTGGTAGATTGCTACCTTAGACAATTTGCATGCATGTCCCCCTAGAAGAGATAATAAGCTGGTGACCTCAAGAAGAATAGCTGAGAAGTATGAGAAGTTCATACTGTCCAACCCTTCCTGGAACTTGGCCCATATGAAAGCAACAGTTCAGGAGGAAATGTTTGCTGATGCTTCATTTTCCAAGTTGAAGAGAGCCAAGAAACTTGTGATGCTGAAGGCTATGGATGCCAGAAAAGGGCAATATCAAAAATTGTACAACTATCAGCAAGAGTTGCTTAGAAGCAATCCTGGGAGTACTGTTGTGATAACAACTTGGTCCTTTCAAACACTCCACAGAGTTTTGTGCAGAGCAAAAAAAAGGAAGAGGTTAGCTGGTGCTACCACTAGTGCTGTCAGCCTAACAAACACCACAAGTGCTACTAAGCAGAAGGTTAGCTCATTTTCATTACAACTTAATTTCATTTGCATATCCATTTCCTAACTTAAGCATTTCCACTTTATTTTGCTGTGTTGTTTCAGGGGCAACAATCCAATATTGTCAGCATGAATGCTAAGGCAAAGTTGGCAACACAGGCAGGTGGTTCGGCCACAGTCAACCTCCAAGCAATTGTGCCATACTCCAAGGGTTCTGCATCAGCTTCAATTCAGGTTACATCTGGGAAGGCTTGTGTGTCAGTCTCAGCTCAAGAACCAGCAAAGAAGACAAAAATTGGTGGTCCTCCTCCACCCAAGAAGGCCAAGACACCTGGATCTATTCTCATTCAACCACCATGGGAATCTGACAAGCTTTGAAGCAAGCTTTGTGTACTGCTATGCACTGCCATGCCTTGGCTAATTATTCAGATGTAATGCCAGACTCATAGGCTTACTATTAATTATGTCATGTAATGCCATTCATGCCATGTGTGATGTAATGGTTTAGGTTGCCATACTTGTAAGGCTTATGTGTGCTGCAATGCCAGACAATTTGGTATCTTGCTATCATTTATATGAAATACCAGGACTGGTTTGGCCTATGTTATATTGAGCTGAAATATGCTGACATTTGACTGGCATTGTATGGCATGAAATAATTCTGTGTTTTGTTGAGATTTGTCTGAAACTATTTAGCCTATCTCATATATAGACAATTTGCTGAGTCAGTCCTATGTACCTGTCGGTGACATGGGACCGGGAGTATCATGACTAGGGGCTTGGGCAGGAGCAATCACCCACAAGGCCTGACCCCCTCGGGGGAGTCGGGCCCGAGGGTGACGTGGCCGCCCCCCCTCTTCGTCTCCCCGAGGGGTCGGACCAC